CTTCCCCGATTAAGACACTAAGACTGGAGTGTCAAAATGTTGGGTCATGAATGCATTCATCAGGGCTTTGAAAAACCAGAGTAGCAAGCGAAAACATGACTGAATCAATACCCAACACAAAATATTTTCACATTTTCCTCTACATCACTGATTTAAATCTACTTTTTATTCTGTTCCACATCACATATAGCGGTGTTATTGGAACAGGGTTGTGTATATTCTCTCGTTACCCGATACTCAAAACCTTTGCCTATCCATTTGCTGTGAGTGGCTATCCCTATGCTATAGCCCATGCCGATTGGTTTGGAGGAAAAGCAGCTTGCTTCGCGCTGATTGATCATCCGAAAATGAAAGTACATTTCTTTACTTCTCATGTGAGTATATGTACTGACAATAGGCAATGGGCAAAGTTTTTCAATGGGCAAATATACGAGGATGCCATATATAGTCTATTTTTAGCATGTTTATTGCTGTTTTTAAAAAATATAATTTCAGCTCCACGCAGAATACGACCGCAACAATGACGTCTATCTCGCGCATCGCGTGGTGCAAGCTTATCATCTCGCGAAGCTGATTGGTCAAATAACTGATCCCGAAGATTTCGTGATATTGTGTGGGGATATGAATTCTGAGCCTGCGGATCCGTGTTATCGCATCATCAAGGAATTACCGCAACTTAATGACAGCTGGCTGGAACGCGGGGCCAAGGTAATGTTCAGTAATACTTCAAGTCTGACTAACCCCAAATATGATTTTTGGTATGGGTAATACTCGGGTCATTCTAAGAAGAAATGTAAGGTATCTTTATAGTAAAAAACCTCATCTTGATCAACTTTTTCACTGTCAAAGTTTTCGGATCTGATGTGATTAGGTGAATTGCAAATTAGTTTTCCGTTCAACTTTGTTCGTTTATTGCAACCAGCACCAACAACGAAACAGACAATTCTCACAATCTCAGAAATAGAGAAACTGACTTAGCACTTCCTATGCCAAAGAAAGATTTGGGCAAGAGGTGCTTCAACCATACTGATGGGGCCTCACTGTCGAACAATCGCCATTGAGCGAACATGAAGTTAGCTGCTTTTCTGTAATTCTAGTCTGGTTGCTATGGCAATACATGTGATAGGAGTGACAACATGTTCACTTCAAAGAAATATGATCAACGGCAACTTGGTGGTCCTGAAGATGGCAAACGCATTGATTATATTTTCTACAGATCATTGGACCAAAGGTGGCAATGTGACAGCGCATGCGTGACGATGTCCAAGGTCCCTGGGGCCGAGTTTCCCTTCTCGGATCACGATGGAGTGGAAGCCAGTTTTGTTTTCAATGAGAGTACTTCAATGAAACCCGGTGAGCGCTACGATTCATTTATCTCCTAGCTACAGACATAGTTGTTTTAGACTCACGGGCGTTGCGAAGCAACATCTGTGAGTCTCTGTGGTTACTTGAGATTGGGGTGAGTATGGGACAGTTAAACAATAGGAAATGACCAGCCTGCTTTGCGCGCACTGTTTGCATGTGAATCGGGCCTTTCAGAACCGGAAATCGGGCTGGAGAATGCGTTCGTTCTTTTGATTTGGCAAAAGAAGCACGACAAATGAGTGAAATGCAAAATTCGCACGAAAGTTTGCGAAAGCAACTGCTTTAATTCTTTCTCTCGCTTTCATTTGATCTCATCTGTGAGTCGACCTCAACAGCGTTTGATATGTTTTTGGGATTCTAACCATAGACATCTTATATACACTAGTTATAATATAGCATTTGTAAATTCTGAACGCTGATTGGCTAAGAGCCGTGTTGATATAACTCCATGTCAACACGGGAAATTTTCCGCCGCTTGTAACACGGAAATTGTTCTTATTCTTCGGGCTTTTGACATTGCTATATTATAAAACAAATATAAAACATTTTTCCGTATTGATATACAGTTATATCAACACTCGTGGAAGTTGGGAAAACTCGAAATTGTGTGAAAACACTCCGCCCTTCGGGCGTCGTGTTTCCACACAATTTCTCGTTTTCCCAATTTCCACTCGTGTTGATATAACTGTATATCAACACGGAAAATGTTTTATATTTGTTAAATAGTGCATCTAATTATTCTGCAATTCAAAAATTGAAACCGTGATTTAACTTAAACAGTAAGTTAAACCTATTCCAAATACATTTTCAAACTATTCAAATGATAAAACTTATTGTTGTTTCAAATGATGAAAGTTATTGTTGTTTCAAATGATGAAAGTCATTGTTGTTTCAAATGATGAAAGTTATTGTTGTTTCAAATGATGAAAGTTATTGTTGTTTCAAATGATGAAAGTTATTGTTGTTTCAAATGATAAAAGTTATTGTTGTTTCAAATGATGAAAGTTATTGTTGTTTCAAATGATGAAAGTTATTGTTGTTTCAAATGATGACAGTTATTGTTGTTTCAAATGATGAAAGTTATTGTTGTTTCAAATGATGAAAGTTATTGTTATTTCAAATGATGAAAGTTATTGTTAGCGAATGATGAAAGTTATTGTTAGCGAATGGGAAACTTCAACATGGCCGCCATCTATTCAAATGGGGGTAACCGCTGGAATATTCTTGGCTTCAATTTTACTAAAACAGATGCGCTATCTAGTGTATATAAGATATCTATGATCCTAACTCGCCAATGTTCTTCCAAATAAATTATTGTTATATTTTTAGACATTTCAAGCGACGAGAGGACGCCTTTATCGATTCTGTCCGAAGCCACGACTGTGATAAAAAATGAACAAAAACAAGTCGACAAGAATTTCTATAAAAAACTGATCGCCATTCTCATCTTGCTCGGTTTCATACTGTTGCCAGTGTTTCTGCCTCGCGACGAGGGATCCTGGTTGGATATTGCTGGACCCATAGGGAAGATTGTGTACACGCTGCGTATACTGCTGACTGTATTTGTATGCGGGCTCACGTGGTTTGTGGTAATCGTACGAAGCTACGAACGCCATGTCTACGAAGGTGTATTACGAGAAATTAACCTAGACCTGCATCACGGTCGAACTTCGTTCAGGCTAAAATGACTTTTTTTAGAGGAACCCAAAGTCCAGCAAGCCATAATAAGAAAAAATATTTTAAAATTAAAACTCATTTTGAAGATTATTGATAAAAATATTTACCGAGAGTTTTTAAAAATCGCCCGGCGGTTTTAAATCCACTAGATGTATTTTATTATAGTATAGTATATACAGTATGTAGGTGACTTCATTTATATTCATTGTTTAATAATAATTCATATTCTTATACACTATATGAAGTATAATAATTTATCACCTTAGAGCGAATTGTGATCTGTTTAGAACCGTGTTACTTAGTTGAGCCATTTCTATCTAGTTTTAAAAAAAATTTTGCAAGGTACAATAAAATCCCGCATAAAAGAACCAGTGGTTTTTTGTCAGTTAACCACACAAAATACAAGAACCACTTCAGGCTGACAAATAAAACTGGTTCTTAATTAAAAACTCTTCTTGAAAACTCTAAACCATGGGCACAATGGACAACTTGCATGTTAGACTAAATTTTAATCTAAGTGAAGAGAAGGGAATCAAACACAACAGTTAAAAAGAACATAATGAAATTAGTAAAATTGCAAAATGTGGTTGCGAAATGTTGTAAAATGCAGAAAATATAGCCTTGCGGAGTTTGCATATTTTCAGTATATTTGTATTACGTGCGGAAATTGTTACCATTTTCGGCTCAAAAATGGTAACAATTTCCGCACGTAATACAAACATACTGAAAATATGCAAACTTCGCAAAGCTATATTTTCTGCATTTTACAACATTTCGTAACCAAATTTTGCAATTTTACTGATTTTAATAAGTTCTTTACGGGAATTTACTTTTTTTGCCTAATTAGTCTAACATGCAAGTTGTCTAATCAGCCTGAAGTAAAAATTCACTGCTTTTATGTGGGGCTTTACTGTAACCACTGCTCCTTGGCAATATTCCCCAGTATTTCCCAGTATAAATCCATTTCCACAATCTATTTTCCACAATTCGCTTTAGAGAGGTATTGGATCTCGCCCTCAGAAAGAGCGTAGTTATACATTAAAAATTCGTCTGTGGCGCCATTGAGGTATTCCTTTTCATAAAAATGCCTGCCAATACCGGCGAAATGACCCCAGTCCTGGGACAATAGTCCCGTGGCGGATTTTTCTTTCACTAACTTCCCCCCAACCCAGACCTTCGCGATCATGGCTGACGAGTCATATGACGCGGTCACGTGAGTCCAATTTCGCGCGGGAATTATGGGAATTGTCTCAATTCTAAAAATAATTTTGTTTTGTTCATCGTTGTGTGACCACACTACCTTCCCATTATCTATCGCAAAGTCGTATTGATCGTTCTTATGCTCCGAGCGGCTTCCAATTGTATTGAATAGCTGGTGATAACCTCTGGAAAAATAAAAGTGGAAATCAAAACAGACATTTGAAGACTGGCCCTCTCTTGGCCTCTAGGAAGAACAGTTTAGAACTGATAGAGCTATCCAGTATAAATAAAGTTAGTTTAATTTAGGTTTCCTCCTGTAGTAACACTGGATCAATAAGAGATGACTCTTACTGGACCTCTAGGGAGAACAGTTTAGAACTGATAGAGCTATCCTGTATAAATAAAGTTAGTTTAGTTTAGGTTTCCTCGTGTAGTGACACTGGATCAATAAGAGATGATCCTTACTGGACCTCTAGCTAGGAAGAACAGTTTAGAACTGATGGAGCTATCCAGTATAAATAAAGTTAGTTTAGGTTTCCCCCTGTAGCAACACTGGATCAATAAGAGATGATCCTTTTCTTGGCCTCTAGGAAGAACAGTTTAGAACTGATAGAGGTATCCAGTATAAATAAAGTTAGTTTAGTTTAGGTTTCCTCCTGTAGTAACACTGGATCAATAAGAGATGATCCTTCTGGACCTCTAGGAAGAACAGTTTAGAACTGATAGAGCTATCCAGTATAAATAAAGTTAGTTTAGTTTAGGTTTCCTCCTGCAGTAACACTGGATCAACAAGAAATTATCCTTACTGGACCTCTGGGAAGAACAGTTTAGAAATGATAGAACTATCCAGTATAAATAAACAGTTCTATTCATGTTAATCATCTGTCATTCATTACTGATGTAATATTACCTGTTTGTATTCAACTTCACCCACGTGGCAATGGTGATTGCGTTCAGCGGTTTCCCTTTGAACCGCTGACCATCAAGATCGATTTCACCTTGGCTCATATTCATGCCTAGCCCGCAAACACCCGGCATATCCGAGGCGGTTAGGTTCACGAGTTTGCCATTATTTCCCAGACCTGACTGGTCCAACGTATACAGACCCTGGCCCTTCTCAAAACCAAAATGTAAGACAACCCGATGCGAATTGCACATTTGGCTGAGTGACTGAATTTCAGCCAACGGCAACGCTTTGCTGAATATGTAGAATTCGTCGACTACACCAAGAAGTGCCTGGCTCTCGACCCACTGACCGCTGTCCGCCATGTCATACAGTTTGCCAATGACGACCTTCCCGCTCCAGTCCTACAGAGAGATCAGAATGTTTTAAAAGCGAAGAGTGAATCTCTTGGGGGAACTACGGGGGGACTACAAAGCTTGGGGGAACTACGGGGGGACTACAAAGCTATAAATTTACTACCAGTCACTCGACCTAGGAGGAAAGCGATGGCGAAAATTCACATCCAAAATCTATGAAAGTCGTGACTTGAAAGAATATCCCTGAACAGGTGTTTTTCTCATGTGCTGACTTTTAAAACACAATATTCTGCTTTCAAAAGCTCTCGCTAGAGATAACTTCGCGAAGTGACAAGCGTTAAGTCGTCACGAAAATATTTCGTGGACTTAAATTGGATAAGACTTGCTACCAATCCCCGTTGACTCGAAAGCTCAATGGGTAGAGCGGCGGTCTAAATACCCGAAGATGTGAGTTCAAATCCCGCTCGAGCCAACGAACTTTTCGTTGGTCCATTGCAGTGTCAGAGTAATATGAAACTGGTTTTTCGTATCTCTGAGAATGGTTAGTCTGAAATAGAATGTTAAGTTAATGCCTATAAATACCCGTGTCATTTTCTCTCGCATGCTATAGACGTGCTAAGTCCCTCACTCGCAATAGCAGAAGATTACAGAATACAGGTCATTCTTAGACAAACTTGCAATCAAAATTTACTCCCTAGTTTTTCCTAGACGGTATTTCAACTCTGAAACGTCCAAGTACAACTGTGTTTATATAATGGTATATGGCTTTTCCCATTTTTGTATCTGTCATATACCCAGTAACCCAAATCCATTTTCCCGGTCCAAAAATACGGGCAAATTCTAGTACTCATTCTAGCCCTTCAAAACGCCACATTAACACATTAGTAATCTAACATACTAACCTTGGATAAGGCCCCTCCTCCCAAGCTAGTTTGCGAATTTTTTAGCTCGCCATTGACATATATTTCAGCCTTGCGAGTCATAGTGCTGTAGGTTGCACAGAGATGGGTCCATATTTCTGGTTGGAGAACTGGTTCCTTTGTCTCCACACTAAATATCGTCTGGAAATAATAGTAATTATGGTTAGCAGTTTGTCGTGGAGTTATATATACAGCTAATTCAAAAAAGATTGTCGTTTGCAAACCTTAAACTCTAAAGACTAAACCCTAAACTCTAAGCGTACAAAGCACAATGGGGGCATCTTTTAATCAGTTTAGAAATCATATATGGGGTCCATTTCTTAGAGACAAGCAAATATCTCCTTACGAGGACAATGACTTACAAATAGCTGCAATATTTAACTGCTAAGCTTCAAACTTGTGCTCTCATTAAGCTTTGCGCGCTTAAAGTTTAAGGTTTTAGGTTTAAAGGTTTTGCAAAGGACGACCTTTTTTGAATTGGCTGTATACGATGACTGAAGCCTGATCCTAGAAGAATTTTGAATCGTGAGATTATCGTGGGAGTATCGCAAACTTTTATTCCGAACACTTAGGCTACTGTACGTTTAAACTGTAACGTATAGCTTATCGTAGCGACGTCAAAAAACACCTATCAGTACCTTTTAGGAACGCTATTTGCAGAGGAATTATTGCAACGGAGAGATGTTGTTTCGCTCAGCTTCTGAAAGTTGTACATTCCGTATCGGATAGGCGCTTTTCCGAACGGCTATGGAAAGCTGTTTTCGTTACATAATAAATATGGCGTCAATTTTACAGCATTCAAATTGCATTTAAATTGACAATATTTCTCAACCACTAGGCAGTTGCATTCCTAGCAACGAAAGCTTGTTCATATTATTGAAACAGGCTGCACTCCCACAGACAACTTCAAGATTGAAGAAAAATAAATGCTCTTCGTTCCTTTTTGAACAGTAACATTGCAAATCCGCAAAACAACACAAATAAAAGCTGAAATATAATACTGTTGGCATACCTGAGACTCTGCATTTCTATGAAACCATCTCACCGATCCAGCGTTCGCTTGGAAATGATATTGACCATGTTTATTGCCAAGACTTGCTGGATTGGTGGTCATAAAGATTTCCTGGTCACCTTGGGTGGTGTCTAATTTCACCCACAACATAACGCTAATGCCAAGCGTAGGACGCAGTCTCATCGCACCACCATTGATATTTATTGCACCTGATGATAAACGAAAGCGATTGTTATTTAGTTGAGACAAGACATTGATGTCAAAAAAATCAGTCAACGCTCTACCGAAAGTCGTGGGGTTTTTTCGGGTATAATTAAGTAAGGTGTCATTTGCACCCCCTCCCCCTTACATGCTTATAAAATAAAGTTCGTTTAATGTAGGTTCTCACCAACGAAACTTCACAGCTTTGTTTTATGATTGCATTAGAAAATTCAAAACCGCTAGTAGGTTATACTTTGGCAAACTATCTTAGCTTCTTTTCTTGAGATATTTAATTATAGAGAAATGATTCAAGTTCGTCGAGATACGATATATATTTGTTTTATGATTTCGATGTATCCCGAGATCTTGTTAATATGCATAGTCTATCGAAGTCATCCTATGTTATCACAAAGTCATGCTTTGCATAGTCTATCGAAGGGAAGATGGCTGTAAAACTCATTACAACAACAGTATAACGCATTATCTATGTTAGTGAACGTTTATTCATAAATCTGGTCCTTCGTTGTCACGTGTGTATTGTATTTTTGCCAAATCCACCAATAGCAATTTCCAATTTACCCTATTGTTCGAGTCACGGATAGGTAACTTTCCTAAAACATTGCTATTGGTTAGTTGGGCAAAAATACAATACACACGTGACGGTGAAGGACCAGATTTATGAATGAACGTTGACTAACATAGATAATGAGTTATATTGTTATTCTAATGAGTTTCACAGTCATCTTCCCTTCGATAGGCTATGTGCTATGTGACGTCATACAGAGGATAATTCCTATATCCAACTTCTTAAATATCTCAAAAACGAAGCTACTAAAAACAGTTTGGCACAAGTGTCCAATTTGGTCCTTTTAATTTGATAACTGATCCTTTTCCACTAAATCAGTTCGCCTGGTAGGTAAGTAAGTAGGTAGGTAGGTACGAGGTTGGCAAACAAACCGAAGTCGAACATACCTTGGTTTAAATGAAGTCCATTCCCACATTTTCCGCTTTCTTTGGTAACCTGTGCCGCACTGCTTGAGACGGCGTCTATATTATTGCCAGAATCGTCAAATATTGTTGTACCAGATAGCCGTTCAAAACTATAGTAGACAAGCTGGAAACCTTTACTTCCTAAAAGAACAATTGTCATAATCTTTTATAATTATTTATATCTCCTTAAGCGTATAGGGCAGATTCTACACGCACAAAAATCTCCCAGCTTGTCAACGAGATGTGTTCGCAATGCTTGTTCCCAGTTGTTGCCAAGTCTGGAACAAGTTGTTATCATCTTGTAACAAGGTTGGTGAGGCCAACAGACTCGCAACAAGTTGTTCCAACAAGTCTGATATCGTCTGCACGTAACAAGTTGTTAACAAGTTGATGACAACAAGCTCGTAGCAACTTGTTACGAACAGCCTGTATTAGTCTTGTTGGAACAACTTGTAGCAAGTCTGTTACCGTCATCAACCTTGTAACAAGATGATAACAACTTGTTCCAGACTTGTCACAACAACTGGGAACAAGCAGTGCGAACACATCCTGATATCGGCTTCACAATAACTTACCTCCTGTACCGCCAGCAAAGTTGCATTTCCCGAACAAATTTTTCACTTCAAATGGCGTGAGCGCTCGATTGTAAGCCATGATTTCATCCACGTACAGCAAGTCCCCTGCTAGACCTTGATGCATTCCAAATCCAGCCCTTCCGTCCCAGTCCTCTGAGAGAGATCCTGTGCCGGGGGCTTCCTTCACCAGCACGCCATTGATGAATATTCCTGCCCTGCTGTTGGCTGATGAGTATGTGGCCGCGAAATGCACCCAGGATCCTTTTGGAAGGATGAAATTATGTTAGTTTGGACACTGAATCAGGGTATCATTGCCTCAAAGTCAGCGGGGGATTTTTGCTAATTTCGTTCACTTTAGTACGTAGGGTATTTTCACACCAAACTAGACCACACTATTGTTCAATGCAATATTCAACACATTGTGAAACTCGTTAATAATTCATGAAGAAAACACAAAAGAAATCATGAGCGTGAAGGAGTTTGTATATCTGATACAAAATCATGCTCATTTACATAAACTTTAAGTTCAATTTTCTCACCAAATATCATTCATTTATTGTAAATTGTTGAAGAATACGAATGTTCTCATGAAGATGTTTCGCAAGCCATTTACAACATTCGTGTACGTTGTATTGGATATATAAACTCTTGTCTTCTTCTCGAGTTGGTATATCCAAACAGGTACCGTACCGTACAATACAATACAATACAATACAATACAATACAATACAATACAATACAATACAATACAATACAATACAATACAATATAATACAATACAATACAATATTCTATTCTCCAATTCCACAAGAAAATATTCATCTCTAACACAAAGAACAACCAATACACACTTACTAGGTAATATCAATGTTCCAGTTTGAACTTCAAAAACAATCTGACCGTATTCATTTCTATGCCTCCATAAAACAGCACCATCGTTGACGCTCAGCACGTATTGGTTCTTGGTGTGCAAAGAATGCCCTCCAATAGTCTCAAAGAGTGTGTGTGTGCCTTCAACTGTCGTGAAATTGGCCCATAAAGCTATTGTGACTGCGTCTGTAGGCTTGTTGCGAATAGTTTTACCATCCAGTTTTATAATACCCGTGTTACTCGGGACCTTTAGGCCCATTCCACAAGTACCGTTTATAACTAAAAAAGTAAAAACAGATTACAGCTTATCCATTAAATAAGAGACTCTATAGTCTATAGACACAAACGCCTCTATTCTAAAAGCTCACTCACACTCAATGAGTGGAGGTCCAATCTGAGCTCAGTCCCTCAATTAGTGTCAATGCTGTTTTTGAAAAGCCGGAGGGTTAGTGTCGTACCTTACTATGTGACTACTCACCCTCCAGCTATTCAAAAACAGTATAGACATTCAGGGGAAGCTCAGATTGAACCTCCGCTCTTTGAGTGTGATTGTGAGCAAGGCCAGCGAGAGGGGGGGGGGGCAAAATACCCGGGGCCCGGAGTGCTCAGTGGGGTCCGAAAATCTCGGTAAAATGTTCGTATCGTTTATAATCGCCCTGTAATTGCTTTATGTTTGTCCAAAATGAAATACGCCTGCTTGCACACTATCCGCTGAACGTAAAACGTACCAAATTTGAAATAAACGATTTTTCGATCGTTTTCTCAGCAAAAACAGTTAGCTGAACATCGTTCACATTGCGTTTTTATCAGTTATGCGGCGATTTCTTGCAAGTAATTCGCTGGCAATTCTCTCGTTGATTGCGATTAAAAATAGACTTTGGCGTGGCCATACGCTAGCAGGAAAGTCGAGAGGGACATGGGGGGGGGGGGCGTGTTCACCAAATCGTCATTTTGTCCCGGGGCCCGTGGTTGGCTCTCGTAAGTTCCCTTAACAAGTTTACTTTCTCGTGTGTACGGTCAACAGGTTTTCCTTGACAAGTTTGGGGGAAGACCTACCTAAAATGCTCATGTTTTGTGATTGGCTTTCCGAAACAAAAATGGTCATTGTTCGTGACTCGTTCTTTAGAAAGACGATTTCAATAGTTTTATTGTCTTTCATTGTTATAATCAACCAATCATGAGCCTGGATAGTATAGATAGATGATGACCCTGCACAAGTTTCCCTTGACAAGTTTACTTTCTCGTGTGTACGGTAAACAAGTTTTCCTTGACAAGTTTACCTTGGGAATTTTACTTTCTCGTGTGTACAGTAAACAAATTTTCCTGGACAAGTTTACCTTGGGAATTTTACTTTCTCGTGTGTACAGTAAACAAATTTTCCTGGACAAGTTTACCTTGGGAATTTTACTTTCTCGTGTGTACAGTAAACAAATTTTCCTGGACAAGTTTACCTTGGGAATTTTACTTTCTCGTGTGCACGGTAAACAAATTTTCCTGGACAAGTTTACTTTGGGAATTTTACTTTCTCGTGTGTACAGTAAACAAATTTTCCTGACAAGTTTACTTTGGGAATTATACTTTCTCGTGTGTACGGTAAACAAATTTTCCTGGACAAGTTTACTTTGGGAATTTTACTTTCTCGTGTGTACAGTAAACAAATTTTCCCTGACAAGTTTACTTTGGGAATTATACTTTCTCGTGTGTACAGTAAACAAATTTTCCTGGACAAGTTTACCTTGGGAATTTTACTTTCTCGTGTGTACGGTAAACAAATTTTCCTGGACAAGTTTACTTTGGGAATTTTACTTTCTCGTGTGTACAGTAAACAAATTTTCCCTGACAAGTTTACTTTGGGAATTTTACTTTCTCGTGTGTACAGTAAACAAATTTTCCTGACAAGTTTACTTTGGGAATTATACTTTCTCGTGTGTACAGTAAACAAATTTTCCTGGACAAGTTTACCTTGGAAATTTTACTTTCTCGTGTGTACGGTAAACAAATTTTCCTGGACAAGTTTACTTTGGGAATTATACTTTCTCGTGTGTACGGTAAACAAATTTTCCTGGACAAGTTTACCTTGGGAATTTTACTTTCTCGTGTGTACAGTAAACAAATTTTCCTTGACAAGTTTACTTTGGGAATTTTACTTTCTCGTGTGTACGGTAAACAAATTTTCCTTGACAAGTTTACTTTGGGAATTATACTTTCTCGTGTGTACGGTAAACAAATTTTCCTTGACAAGTTTACCTTGGGAATTATACTTTCTCGTGTGTACGGTAAACAAGTTTTCCTTGATAAGTTTACTTTGGGAATTTTACTTTCTCGTGTGTACAGTCAGAAACGTTTCCTTGGCTAGTTTACCTTCTTATTTGTATCGTCAACAAGTTTACCTTGACAAGTTTAGTGGCTGGTGTGCACAGAATATTGTTAAACATTTATTTTGGCAAGTATTTATATTGGCAAGGAAAATTGATTGGATTGTCGTACACACGAGCTAACAAAAGTTTTCAAGAAAAACTTGCTTGCATGAAATATCACTTTAAATAAACTCACCTAATGATGGCAGCACTGGACTCATTCCCATGATAGCGGCATCATTTTGTAAACCTGACGTGTCCAATGATATATTCCCCATATCTTTCTCAAACGCCAGATGAAGTATCACATTACTTTTTGCCCCACTGCATTTCGAAATAAGATTCTTAATCTCCATTTCTTTCAAAGTTTTATTAAAAATATAAAATTCATCGATATAACCACGCATGTCTTTCTCGCCTATCGCTGGACCAATACCTACAAAACAAAAGAATTGATGTATAGTCCATTGGGTTATCGAAGTATATATACTATTTAAAACACGAGTGCTTTAGCAGATATAAATGAGGCGAAATATGAGGTGTTTTATATTTAATTTAGCACGGACTATACGAGTTTTTTAAATGTCTTAAAAACGGATTCATCTTATGAGTTCATTGGTGAGGTAGTTTTAAAGATAAACGTTGTTTAAGCCGAGAAAACCAATCCTCATGAATTATATGAATTTCCTCATGAGCTTTTTAAAGATCAATAATATACATGAAAAATCACTCAATACTGTGCAATAGAATCAACATTTCTGGATAATTTTGCTGGTTAATTTAAACAGGACTTTACTCTCACTACCAAATCTCTCTCTTGGTTCAAAATAGAATTCCTATTCACAATTTTCATGTAACATTCAAAAACTCATTAATAATTCATGAGGAAAACACAAAGAAAAATCATAAGCGTGTCGTATCTTTATATGAGATTTCCCTTGATTTACATAAACTTTAACTTTGATTTTCTCGACTTACATAACGTATTTTTTGAAAATTACGTCGCCAATGAACTTACTAGATCGTTTTTGAAGCAATTTAAAACATTCGCAGTGCGTGTTTTATCAGACCTAAAGATACTCGGCTTCGCCTCGTTATCTTTATATCTGATAGATCACTGCTGCTCATGTTTTGAATAGTACTTAAAGTCACGTATGGACTGTATGTTGTATATAGAACAATAAACAATGCAGCTTAGTTCTTTTCTAAACCCCTGTAAACAGCTTACTTCTACTGGCTTTGCTGTTCTTTTTGAACGACATTTGTGGATAGCCTGAGCTTAAGTGGACATGATCAGCGTGTTTATAAATAAAGATTTTACTTTACTCAAGTGGAATCAGTTCCAAAAGTAATAGATCTTACCCATTATTCTCTTTTATCCAATGGCCTCGTTTTCATGTCAAATACTTACTCATCTTCTGTGCTTAGTATAGGGTTGAAAATTACTTTGTTATTGAGCCTAAGTTAACAGCAAGAAACAAATTCGTCCAGAAAAACATGGGAATACAATCTTTATCTGCCCCTGACAAGCTAAAATAAGTTAACATGGAAACGAGGTCATTGGTTAAAAGAGAAAAATCGGTAAGATCTATTATTATTCTGTCAACCGGTTTTTGGCGACAGAATAACCGACCTTGATTCAACTGACGACTTGCGCTTTAGAAAAATTTTTAATCTGGGAATAACAAAGGATATTTTCGGAAAGAAGTTATCAAAATTAGAAAAACTGCAAAATTTGGTTGCGAAATGTTGTAAAATACGGAAAGTATAGCCCTGCGAAGTTGGCAAATTTGTATACATTTCTATGACGTGCGGAAATGGTAACTAATTCAGTTACCAATTCACGCACGTAATACAAAAGTATACAAATTTGCCAACTTTGAAGGGTTATATTTTCCGTATTTTACAACATTTCGCAACCAAACTTTGTAATATTACTAATTCCAATACGTTCTTTCCAGCTGTGGTGATAGATTTCGTTGTTCTTACTTAGAGTAAAATTTAGTCTAAAGCGCAAGTCGTCCACCGCTTGCACTGTGTTCATTGCTAGTAAAACTAATGCTTTCATACCAGTGTATTGGTCCCAGTCCGTAGATAACGGGACCCCAGCGTCTTTCACATCCTCTTTCTTCAATTCACCATTAATAAATATCTGAGCTGTGCCCGTTACAACAGTATAAGTGACCAGAATATGAGTCCAGACATTCGGCATCAATACTGGACTGTCTGTAACCACGCTAAACAGTGTATTGCCCAGCGAATTCCGATGAAACCAAGTTAATTTCCCATCTTGAACTTCTAACCGATACTGAACTAAAGGAAAAGATGATGGCCTAATGGACCTATTTCCTAACGAACAAAATTTTTAACTACACAAGTCTAGACAAACATATCATCACAGCTTGAAAGAGCATCACAAAATTAGTAATATTCCGAAGTTTCCTTGCGAAATGTTGTAAAATGCGGATAATATAAGTCCTGTGAAGCTTGCCGTTTTTCAGTCATTTTGTATTACGCACGGGAAATTGATACCGCGCTTTCTGAAAAAATGTATCAATTTCCCGCGCGTAATACAAAATGACTGAAAACGGCAAACTTCGCAGGGCTATATTATCCGCATTTAACAACATTTCGCAACGAAACTTCGGAATACTACTAATTTTGTGATGTTCTTTCAAGCCGTGATAAACTTTTTGTCTAGA